TTGGCCTGAGTCTGACCGGATCCCTACCTTGTTTTACCTGGTTCTGGCCTGGTTTAATGATACTCTTATCTAGTTTTTTAGAAACAGTTAAACAGCTAAAGCTAGTTAGTAAGCTGTAGTAAGTAAGCAGAGCGATGTCAAGTTGTTAACTTGGAAACGAATAAGATTGATGTTAACTTGAAGCCTTTAACCTTTAACTACTTTACTAAGGCTACTTTTTTAAGAGTTGCTTACAAACAGTTTCTTTTAAGTGAACTGTGGAAAGTAGTGTTTAAATTGAAATTTGAAAGGAATTTGAAATCTACAATATTGCAAGACTCTTTGATTACCAAAAATCTCAGAAAATCTGGAAAATTTCCCTCAACAAAACTACGATAATTGCCTATTTACAACCAAAACTAATCCAGAGGAGGTTTACAATGTTTTGAAGAATTTAATTGAGTTCAAGTGTATAGTTTCTTAAGAAAAACAATTCCAAAATCAACAAAATCAACTGTTTAAAACGCACTTCTCCGGTTTTCTTGAGCAACTTTTTGCGCAAATTTCTCAATTGTGCAGGCGACAAGCGGCTGTTGGCGAGTGGTGGCAATGAAAAGACGACTTTTTCGAACCGGAAGAACTCATTGAATTTGTTGAAATTGTATTGAAATTTATATTATTTGTTTATCTAATAGTTTGGGCACCAATAAGCAAAACCAATAAACACCAATAAATAAACAGCTCTCACCTAAAGATTCTTTTTACTTGTCGCCCTGGAAAGTGACTGAGATTTGCGACGCGTTGAGTGCTCTGAAATTTGTGTGGAAGTTTTGGAAGAAGCTGAGTAATCTAAGTTAAATAAAGATGCCCAAGGAGAAGTTATAGAACTGATTAAGCTGTCGTCGATTAAGCTGTCGATATGAGCTCGTGTCCTAGTGAATAAGATGCTTGTATCCAAAGCCAGTGATTCATTTCTGGCGAGTTCGACCCCCCTATGAAACTTCTGGCTTTTTTGATTTTAAGGAAACTAATCTAGATAGATTTTGTTTCTTTTCATCTGTTAGGTCTTATCTGAACTAGCCCTGGCTTTCTTTAGTCCTAGAATCCACTTAAAACTGCTTGAAACTGCTTGAAACTTCTTGAACTCACTTGCTTGATAAATCTCGTAGCTACTCAACGCTCTCTTCTTCAACGAGCTCCGCTTCCGCGCAACGCCTACCTTGATCGGATCACTGAAAGAGATAAAGTAATATCGATAAGATTTAGCCTTTAATTTCAATATATTATGATGGCTGAAAGATGGATTCGTTTAAGAGAGACCAATTGGTGAAACTTTCTTCTTTCTTTGCTAAGTGTTCCTAGAGTGAGTTTCTACTATGTGATCGGGTGTAATGTCCGGTGAAAGGCCTTTCGTCTTTTTTCGTCTTTTCTTCTTTTCATTGCCAAGTGTGACCCCTATTGAACGATTTTGCGGAGAATGAATTGAAATCACCCACAAGATTGGGTGAAAAATCGGATTGTAAAGAGAATGATTTTGTAGGAGTTGTCTAAAAGAGTTAAACAAGAGTTAAACAAGAGTTAAACAAGAGTTAAACAATTTGTAAGATATAAAATGTTTATCTGGATTTGATAGTAATTCCAGACAAATCTACAATGTCTTTTTTTGACAGTACTGCGTTAGACTTGTGCGTTCTCTGGGTTCAAAGATTCAAAGGGGAAACACATCCTTTCTGGCTCACTCAAGTAGTCCTTGTAGAAGAAAGTAGGAAGATGAAAAGCTAGAAGCTTTAGAAAGCCCGAACAGCACTAAAATTGGCTTTAAAGTGAAGAAATCTTGTCAGATTGCTGTCCTGTCCTTGTCAGATCAACCAGAACATTGTTCTTTTTGAAAAGTGAAGGGGTTGAAAGCACTAGAAACTGTGTTCACAATATTTTAAGCACATTTATGTACCTTTGGAGATCATTAGACCTCACTAGTCTGATCAATCTGGAGATCTAGAGATCTAGAGTTCTAGAGTTCTAGAGATCTAGAGTTCTAGAGATCTAGAGTTCTAGAGATCTAGAGTTCTAGAGATCTAGAGTTCTAGAGATCTAGAGAATTCATTTCTGTTTCCCTTTCCCCATCTTTAGATCATTTCATCTATGTGAGCCTATTCACCCATGAGTCACACTGACACTAAACTTGCCAGCAAACAGAAGAGTTTTAGTCAATCTTAATGTGTAAACGATTGGATAAAGATGATAAAATATCAAGAAAGAAACATGTAATCGAATAACTATAATAGAATATCAAGAATCGTACAGTACAATACTTTTACAGTTAGAATACCCGTAAAACTTTAGCTAAAGAACTAAATAACTAAAGAAATTGAAAAATGGGGTAATGGAGAATAACGGAAATAAAGATAGAGAAAAAGAAAGCAATTAGAATTCTGGAAAAGATGATTTGAGAGAAATGAGCTATTTATTCAATGAAAATCGTTAACTTTTTCAATAATAAATAAGAAGAATGAGAGAATGATTTCAGTCAAAAGAAGATTGAAAAGAGGAAATGAACGGGTAACGCTTTAAATCGATTAAGCTGGCGTCAAAATGAGCTGATGGCCTAAGCCATGGCCTAGCGGATAAGGATGCTTGTATCCAAAGCGAGTGATCTTTTTTGTTTTAAAGCTTTTAATCCAAATCTCTAATGAATTGAAGGAGAATTTAGTCATAAAAGGAATCTAAACGTTTGACTAAAGTCTAGTCATTCAAAAAAGATTTAAATCCAAAGAAAGACTGGTTATCAAGGGCTTGGTCTGATTTTGGATGTTGATGGGATGATGTTGATGTTGATGGGATGTTAATAGGATGTTATTGATGTTGATGGGATGTTGATTGAACTGATCAAGAGCTAATCGAACTTGTTTGATAAAAAAAGCAACAACCAAAAAGATAGGGTCGAGAATAAGAAAATTGAAGAGTGTACATCTCTTCTTTTCCACACCATTTCCATGGTTTCACCCCTTTTCCTTTACCCGTCAATAAGCCCATCCACCAATAATCCCATCTTTCTCTCTCTCTTTCTCTCTTTCTCTCTCTTTCTCTTTCTCTCTCTTTCTCTCTTCCACCATTTTCCCTTTCCTTTCAATGATTACGAGCTTTTCCACTCTTTTCCACTTTTTCCACTCTTTTCCCCCTTTCTCCAGCTGTCAATAATTTGCATATGAAGACTGGAAATTAATTATTGGACAAAGAATCAATACAGAGAAAGTAATGAGAACAAAAGTGTGAATTGATTTATGACTTGAAGAATCTAGAACAATTACCGCATTTTCTCTAATAGTTTACCCTAAGCTTTACCTAAATTCCTTCAAATCTCGAAAACTGCTTATTAAAACCTATTGATATGGAATCGGAAAATGTAGCTGATGATGAGATCTTGCAGGGGATTTGAGTGTTGATTTTCTGTGAAAACTTGAAAACAATAAATTAGTCATCAACTCGGCTGGGCACACTAATAGGAAAAATACGGTAAACATTGCAATTCCACTCACTTTGAAGCGATGATTCGAAATTTGCCGACCCGCTTCTGTGGCCGGCTCGATTGCGGGAATGGAGTAGTGCTGATCTCTTCGAATCTAGAATTACAATCACAATGATAACTTCAGCCTTAGATGGTAGACTGAAGATCCCTGGCTCGACAATGTAAACACACCCGCTCTGGCACACTCAATTTGGCCCTTATGCAGAAAAACGTTATCACAGAGAACCCAATTATGCATCTTTGCACGCCAACAGCCTAGAGATGCCATGGCTGACTGGCTAAGAGCCTTGAATCTTACTCGGGAGATCAAGAGCTCAATCCCGCCGCCTTATTGATTCTTTTTCTGAATAGATGTTTTATTTTATATTCAAATTGATCTTCGACTACTTTATCATCAAATTTTAGAATATTTTATCCTAGATTTGAAATTGTTTTGAATAGATTTCAACTAAAATGAATATAAACCAAATAAAGCGATTTATAGTATTTTCCCGGTTTCTTTACCCCAACTAAAGGGGAAGAATTTGCATTTACCGTATTTTCTCTAATATCAGTGCACCGAGCCGAGTTGATGACTATTTTATACTTTCCAATTTTTCCCAGAAGCTCAACACTTTAATCCCCCAAAAGATCTCATCGTCAGCTACATTTTTCGACCCCACATCGATAGGTTCTGATAAGCGGTTCTCGAGATTTCAGGGAATTTAGGCAAGGCTCAGGGTGCACTACTATTAGAGAAAATATCCTGTTTTGTTTGGCGGGCAAAGATGCTAAAGTTTCTTTCAGTGCGCTAGAAAGAATGTGTTTACAATTTTTTTCAGCACAAAGTTAACTGAATTGTTGGTTGAACTCACCTCTTCGCTAAATCCTTGACCCGTAACCGAGGCGGACCATTACCGTCCCCTGGCATTCTGAAAAGAAAATCGGATTTGATTAAGTAAAGTAAAAGTTAAAGAAAACAATCAGTAATCAGATAAACAATTAAACAAGTAATTAAACAAGTAATTAAACAAGTAATTAAACAAGTAATTAAACAAATAATTAAACAAGTAATTAAACAAATAATTAAACAATAATCAAAACAAATACCTAAAAGAATTGATTTTCTAATGTTTGTGGGGATTTTTTTCAGGTCAAATCCGAGAAGAGAAATCAGTGATGACCTTGAAATGGAAAAGATCTTACACAATTTTCATTTAGAATAAGAAAATTTTAAATTCAATCCATAAAAACGGACAAAGATACAAAGATACAACGAAGCTTAAGAACAAAATTTGTATAAAAAAGAAATCCCAAAGATTTTTGTCGAACTTCAGCCATTTTCTCAATGTAGTTAAATTAGTCAAATTGTTCAGGCCATTTTTCGACTTTTGGATTAGCAAAATGGATTGACCTTGCTGAGAAATGTGTTAAGAAAATGGTGATTAATGAATCACCATTTTCTTAACACATTTCTCAGCAAGGTCAATCCATTTTGCTCCCTTCTTGGGGACTAAACGTCAATAATGTCCAATTATTAAGCACCCATTGACCTCTGTTCTCTCTTCGCTCAAGGCTCGAAAATTGGTAACACAAAGAAAAGAAAATATGGGTTTTTGGAAAAAATTTTCATAAGAAAAAGAAAAAGCTAGCTGAAAAAGCTGTTTTCTCCGTTCCCGTTTTCTTAAAAGCATCAATTTTAGAAAGCTATCAAGTTAATTTAGCTAAGTTATCAAACCGCTAGTTTTCATTTGATCAAAACCCAATTTTTGTATCAAGAAATCACAACGCTCAGTCAATCATACCAAAATTCGGCTAATTCTATGTAAAATGGCGGGGTAGGCTACTTTGCGCCATTTTTTTTTGCGCAACTGGGTCATTTGCGCAACTAGGTCTTTTGCGCAACTAGATCTTTTGCGCAGCTCGCCATAACTTTCTTCTAAGTCGGCCAATCTTTATGATTTTGGTTTCATTTTGTTGCACTTATTGAGATCTAAAAAATGAAACCAAAATCATAAAGATTGGTCCACTTAGTAGAAAGTTATGGCTTGCGCAAACGACCCAGTTGCGCAAATAACCCTGTTGCGCAAAAAAAGTTGCGGAAACTAGCCTACCCCAAAATGGTATTTTGATTACGGTAGTTTGTCTAAAATATATTTTAGAAAAAAAACAAAGCATTTGTTAGAAGAGAAAAGCAAGATTTAATGAAACGCAAACTTTCCTTTTACAAAAATTTCCCATTTTTGCTTTAGCAATTTGAGCAATACTTTTTCATAAGGATTTATTAAATAATTGTCTTTAAAAGGAATGATATTTGATTTAAAAGAGTTAGCTCTATTTAGCTGAAAGAATTCAACGAATTACTCATATTAGCCGGGTTTTTTTTTATTGAAAAACCTTTCCCCAATTAGTGATCAAACCAAAGCGTTGAAGTTTTAGAGACACAGCGAAAAAAAACTCGAATCGAAAACGAAAAAGTGATTCACACTTTGAGAAACAATAGTGATTTAGATGATTTAGATTATTTAGAACATTTAGAACATTTAGATCATTTTACGTAGAGAAATAGATGATTTTACGAAGCATTGAGTAAACCGAAACAAATTCCTTCGGGAATTCTGTTTAGCAATAGTTTAGCAATAGCTTTAGCTTAGCAATAGTTTAGCAATAGCTTTAGCTTAGCAATAGTTTAGCAATAGCTTTAGCTTAGCAATAGTTTAGCAATAGCTTTAGCTTAGCAATAGTTTAGCAATAGCTTTAGCTTAGCAATAGTTTAGCCATTAAAATCTATGAATTTCTAATTTAGCAACTCAAACTTTGTAAGGAAATTTCAAAAAAGCTCTGAGCCTTTGGCTATACAATTATAATTTATAATTTATAAGTTAATAAATAATTTAATATAATTTAGACCGTAGAAACCGAAAAACATGGTTTGAAGACGATTTGAGCACGAAAAACGCGTTTGGAAAAGCCAGAAATTTACACCTTTCCTTGCGTGCCGTGAAATTGGTCAAAAATTAAAGTAAATGAAAAAAACAAATATGCCATCTTAAAGAGCACATTTCAAGCTTTCAGAATCACTATAACACTAATAGGCGACAGTGGATAATTCTCAAGTTAAGGCGCTTCAAAGTTGAGGTAAAATTCGAGAGGTGACACTCTTTTGTCCAGTACTGTACTTTGTACTTAAAAACAGATAAACTCAAGCTTTCGAGTGCAATTGGTTTGTCATTTTTCTTGCAGTAACGACTCGAATGATAAATGCAGGTTTGATTTGCAGAAAAATGAGAAATTCAGTGAGCTAGAAAGGATAGTTATAAGATGGAGTTATAAGAAAAAATTGGTTTGATAAAGGCTTAGAAATCTGGAATAAATAAATTGTTTAATTCAATTGTTTAATTCAATTGTTCAATTCAATTGGTTTTAAAAATCACAAAATTAACAATTTATAAGTTCTAACTATAATTCTACGATATTCATTAGGTCAAAAAATAAATTCAAGTCCAAGTTCAGAACAAAAAAAAAGCTCTTTGTAGCTTTCTTTGTCAACTGCATCACTAGCAAACCATTTTTCCATGTTCTTCGATTGTGACAAAGCGTGACAAGATAATCTTCATCGACAATGCACACCTTTCAACATAACAATGGGAAAAGAGTGCACAAAAGAAAAGAAAAGCACAGGAAACCCCATCCATTCCCACGCAACACATTCCATTCACCTTTCCAATCAACGAGTAAGGAGAAGGTGGTAAAAAGCTTTTTTTAAGTGGTAAAACTGTAAACTATAATCTGTAGAAAACTCCAAATATTCTATATGTTCCTAGTTTAAGCAATTTTCAATAAGGTCCTGCAAAATGTGAACTTTTCTTACATCTCTCAATCGATTTTAGGAAGCAAGAAGTTCTTGTAGCAAGGAATTCTTTGCTATTCTCTGCTATAGTCAACTATTGAAATGATGCTTATAGTTTGGAGTGATTGTTGATAATCAATTATTCAATTGTTTTATGTTTTAATGAAATCTAGGATGGGATTGAGATTGAGGTAGATTGAGATTCTTGGAATCTTCGATAAAGGGCATGCAAAAGCCCCTTTGAGAAGAAAAGGCGCTGAAAAGCTGTCTAGCCAATCTGTTTACATGGCTGAGTGTCAGAGCGTTCGTCTCTAGCTCGCACGGTGGGGATTCGACTCCCGTCTCGGGCTTTCTTGGGCTGCATTTTGCCTAAGCCGTGAAAAGAAAGAGAAAACTGTGACCTTTAGTTGCTTGAGATCAAAAGATGGAAGAGAACAAGGAAAGACGAACGAGTGGAGGAAGATGGAGCGGAAGAGATGAGGAAAACACAGCGTCTTTTGACTCAATTTTGGATCCTCATCAATTTCCGATATCAATTGCAAGTTTTGCGAAAGAATTCCACAAAAAACATAGCAAAACCAACAAAGATTACTCAGTATAGAACAGACAAAGACTACCCTAGTTTACACCAGACAGACAAAGACAAAGGTTACTGTAGCCAAAGATAGAGAAAAGTTAGACAAAAGACAAAAGACAAAGATTACTGTAGAAAGAGATCTCCTCAAGTCGATCATTCAATTGATTTCATACCGACCGAGTTTAGGGTCACTTAGCACAATAGACGAATTTCTCTTCTTTTTCCCATCGATCTCTTTTCTTTCAATCTATTGTGTACACCACTTCATGACTCGGAAATGCATGCGTGAATGAAAAGAGAAATGAAAAGTGAAGACAAGACTTTAAGAGAGTTTATCATTGAAAGAAGGATTTTGTTTGAACTATTGCTTGACCAAAGTTGGGTTGAGCGTTTTTTTCTTTTTGTTCCGTTGAATAAATACTAAATACTGTGGTAAGGTTAAGGGTGAATTTCACTTCAGAAAAAAAGCATTTTCACTTGAGTCATTTAAGCTTTTGGACAATTTGGACAATTAGATTACTATTAGGAAAAAAGAATTCTACTTTTTGGAACAATTAAAGCTAAAAAGCCAAGAAAGTTTATAGAGTCAAGTTTTAATTAAAAAATTGAAAAATTCGACGATTTCCAAATGAACCACTGTCATTTTCACTAAAAAATGGGAAATTTCAAACCGACGATCAGCTCTTTTTCTTCTTTTCTTTTCTCCACATTTGTATGCAAATTTTGTTGGAGAAATGGGGAGAAAACAAGGCCGAAAAGCCACCCGATTGCCCTAAATCGACTAGATCGGTGTTTGGTTGACGAAAAAAAAAAACTTGTTACATCCAAGTTTTTGTTCTATTTAAACAGCTTTTGATGTGTACTTTGGCTTGAAAATGTAAACGAACCCTTTCTGGTGCATTGGATTCTTTGGTTTTCATCAGAAAATGATTTGGTACTGCAAAAAAAATGGGAATTTTAGCTGATTAACTGGTTAACTGATTTTTGGGAATGTCAAAGGAGAAATTACTTGACAAATTGTTGAAGGTGAAGAATTGACATTGACAAAAAAACAATGACAGAAGAATTGAGTTCTTGACCAATCCAAATCTGATATCAAGTCTTGCTAAGCAATTTCCTGATTTGGTCAAGTGTTGTGAAGAGATTAAACGGGATTGATCTCATTGCGAGAACGATTCTGACTATGAGGACTATTTGGATGTGAAAGAAAAGTCAAAAACGAATCGCGCACTCAATCGAAACCAATTGAGAGAAGAAATTCGGGGATTTCGATTGAAGGAGATGAAGGAATTGAAGGAATTGAAGGAATTGAAGGAATTGAAGGAATTGAAGAAAATTTTAAAAAATTAAAGAAAATTAAAGAAAATTAAAGAAAATTAAAGGAAATTAAAGAAAATTAAATTAAATTAAATTAAATTAAAGAAAATTAAAGAAAATTAAAGAAAATTAAAGAAAATTAAAGAAAATGATAGAAAATAAGAAGTTATACTTGAAAATTTGACTT